GATTTGAGAATTCACAGGGAAAAATTAATTTTTATTTAAAGATGAGATGATACCAGCATCTGCTAATTAATCTCTTCTCCTCTTGAACCTACTTATATTTCCAGCCCTTGCAACTCTAGATGACCATGAGAAATAAGTATCAATTGCAGAAGAACAAATCCTTTTATTCTTCCTCAAATGAGCGCTTTCAGATTTTAGGGGTATTCCAGGTTATGGTTTTCTGGGAATTGGCAAACAAGACTTCATTCACCTTACTCACACTCTTCATATTTTTATAGATACTTTATTGTATTCCTTCTTAGTGCTAATCTTTCTGCAGGAGAAATAGTAATCCTTTTAATCTCCCTCTGCTAAGTTATTGAAGTTGCCCTTCTCTGGACCTTTCTCAGCTCTGCTCTGACTTTCTTGAGCTGCAGTGACCAGAACTGATCCACACAGGTTACACAGAAGCATAAGTGACAACCAAAACCAGAATTTCAATGAAGAAACTATGGGAACAAAGAAAAAAAAAAATTGGAAGTGAGCATTAAGAGAGCACATAGAGAAGCACAGTGTTAAAAAAAAATAAAAATTATGTTAGAAAAGATGAAAATTAACCTCATTGTAATAGTTGGAAGAGTACAGATGGGAGAAAAATGAGTTCTTAAAAAGGGTTGATTCCATTACTTCCAAGCTCCAAACCTTTAAGGGTTTTCCCTCCATCACACGTAGAATAAAACCACACTTACCACCTTGGCCAATGATTTGGCTGCTCTCTGTTTCTCCCAGTTCATGTCCCTCTCTCCTAACTTGTTCACCAATTCACAGCCACACTGGCCTTCCTGCTACTCATGGAGCACACCATAACCCATTGTGACTCTACAGCTTTCATCCTTGCGGTACCCTTTTTCTGGGCTGTTTTTTCTCCAGATCCCACACGGCTCACTTCTGCACATCATTCAGACCTCTGATCAAATGCCACTTCCTTAGAAAGGTCTACCCTGGGGCATCTGGGTGGCTCAATTGGTTAGGTGTCCGACTTCTGCTCAGGTCATGATCTCATGGCTTGTGAGTTCGAGCCCTGTATTGGCCTCTGTGCTCAGAGCCTGGAGCCTGCTTTGGATTCTCTGTCTTTCTCGGCCCCTCCCTCTGTCTCTCTCTGTCTCTCCCAAAAATAAATAAACATTAAAAAAAAATAAAATAAAAACAAAGGCCCACCCTGATGAGGCCTCTCTGTCTCTCTGTCTCTCCCAAAAATAAATAAACATTAAAAAAAAATAAAATAAAAACAAAGGCCCACCCTGATGAGGCAATAGCCTCTCCTCCATTGTTCACCATCCTTTTATCTGCTGTACTCACATCATTTACCTTTTTTCTCATCAGCATCGTCCATTAGAACAAAAGCTCTGTGAGTGAAAACTTTGAACTGGTAACTGCTGCATCCTCTTCACATGTAGACTAGTCTCTGACATGGTGGATTGTATGGATGAATGAATGAATGCATGAGAGCATACCATTTCAGAGTGGAAGTTCTGGACAGATTGTCTAGATTAACATTCCACCTCTTCTTGCTATGTACCCTTGGACCAGCTATTTAACTTATTTGTATAGAGTTTCCTCATTTGTAATATGGGGATAACAATGGTATCCGCTCATAGGGATAGGGTTATCTTGGAAATTGAATTAATACAGACAAGGTGCTTAGAAGTGTTAACAATAGTCTGTACTCAACAAATGTTAGAATGATTATGAGAAAAATGGCAAAAAGGGAAAAAGAAGCAACAGTGGTGAGCCTTCTTGGGCAGCAGGAATTTCTATTAATATATTAAGGCAAGTGTGATGCTCCAGTGATTCTCAACTTCTGTGCAGTGCTGTGTTTTCAAAAACTCAGCATCAATTACAAGGAAAACCTTATGGTGGGAGTAGGGGAGGGGGTGGGAGTCTCAGAGTTCTTTTGTTTTTGCTTTTAAATTTAAGAGACATAAAATTCACAACTGTACTATCTCCCATTTCTCAAAGAAGCACATTTGCATAGAGTACATATTTAAACTTTAATACCTGTATGTTAGAACATGCTTTCTAAAGCTTTTGGGTCTGGTACAAGCAAAAGTATAATACCATTCACACTCTAAAGCTGTTGCAAGGCAAAAAGGAAAATCGTGACATTGCTGGTTAGTGACAGAAGTTCGCATTTCCCAAAGGCTGTTTTACTGTCCACCAACTGAGAAAGAAGAAGTTCCTTAAAAAATATAATAACGTGTGTTTGTTACTGATTTTGAGAGTATACAATCAGTAATTGCCATAACTGTAAAATTTTTAGCTTTTGGTAAAAATAGTCTTCCTCTTTTTCTTCTATTTTTAGAAGTTGGTGCGAAAATCATCTTATTTGTTAACACAAGCCCAATTGAATACATGCAAACCAAGTGGAAACATGCAATCCTCCTAAGAATGAGGGTTTATGCTCTTCAGTCCTCCAGAGCAACAGATGCTGATAATAAGCAAAGAGATGTCAGGCAAAATGAGGGCAAAGAGGTTCTTGACACATGGTTTGGAAAGTACCAAAAAACCCACCAAAAGCAAAAACAAAAAAAATGTCCAGGTCAGTTGGCAGCGGCATGGACACTGTTTTTTTT